GGAAAAGCAAGGCCCCCTCTGCCTGCTCTGCATGGAGCTCCCCCCCTTTCTCCTCCCCCCGCGATTTTCGCGGGTTCCCTTTCTTGTGCTTATCTAATTCCCTCTCGAAGCTGTCCATGCTTATAACTGCCACCAACTCCTGTGGCAGTGAATTCCATGGGTGAAGAAGTACTTCCTTTTATCTGTTCTAACCCAACTGCTCAGCAATTTCATTGAGTGCCCACGAGTTCTTGTATTGTGAGAAAGGGAGAAAAGTACTTCTTTCTCTTTTTAAAATAATTTTTTAATTTGAATATACACATCTACAGACAAAACAGAAACAAACAACACATATTGAATCCTAACCCTAATAACACAATTATATTGACCTATTCTTCTTGTTCATTTTTATCTAACCAATTATACAGTTTGGTTTTTTGAAAGACTTCATCATCTTTTCCATGGAGTTTTTGCGTTAAATGGTCCATTTCAGCTACTTCTGTGATTTTGTTGATAAAGTCTTGCTTTCGTGGTATTTCTTCTCTCTTCCAGAACTTTGCCAATAGCATCCTTGCTGCAGTTAATAAATGAACAATCAGATACTTATATTTATGTATGTTATCCGGTAATATATTTAATTAAAATATTTCAGGGTCTAAAGGAATCTGAGTTTTTGTTATTTGGGTTAATAGTGTATGTATCTCCTTGCAATACCTTTTAATTACATTACAGGACCACCATACATGATAGAAAGAACCCACATGAGATTTACATTTCCAACACTTATCACTTGAACTAGAATAAAAGCGGGCTAGTCTGTCAGGTGTTAAATACCAGCGGTGGAACATCTTAAACACATTTTCCTTCAGAGGTATTGCCTTCAAGCATTTTACATTTTGCCACATCCTATCCCATTTATTTAATTCAATAACATTCTCTAAATTTCTTGCCCATGCAATAATTAGAACCTTTACAGTCTCATCATTCATCTTATATTCTAATAATAATGAGTACAATTTACAAATAAGCTTATCATCAGATCCTAGAAATATTTTATTAAGTTCAGAAAAGCCAGTGTAAAAACCTATTTGTTTGTCTTTACTGTATTTAGACACCAATTGGTTCCTTTCCCACCAAGATAAATGAATACCTTGGGATTGTAGCACTTCCTGTGATTTTAACTCATTATTTTTGTGGAGAAGGACCTCATAGCTTGAAGAACGGGTTTCCGTCATAAGATTGGGTAGGGATATAGCTTCTAAGGGAGCTAACCATCTCAGGAATTTTACCATAATAGAGAATTTTTGTCTCACTCCATACTTTTAATAATGCCGCTCTTAGTAAGTGTTGCCTAAACTATGAATGGGTACCCTGTTCAGTATGCCATAAAAACGTATGCCAGCCTACCGTTAAATTGTGTCCTTCAATACTCAAAATTCACTCGGAGTCTCAAAGCGACTTACATACTCCTTTCCCTTCCCCTCCCCACAACAGACACCCTGACCGATTTCCCACAAGCTCTGCTCCACGCTCGCTCTTCCCTTTTGCCCTGATGCTATGTGTCAATTTCACACAAGCTGCTGTGTGGCCGCATTATTGCCCCGCAGCTTCGCATGATTTTCCCCGCGTCTATTCAATCCTGTTTCAGCCCCTGTGAGGTAGGTGGGGCTGAAAGTGCTCTTTCAAGAACTGCTCTTTCAAGGACAGCTCTTGTCAGAACTATGGCTTGCTCAAGGTCATCCAACAGCTGCAAGTGGAGGAGTGGGGAATCAAACCCGGTTCTCCCAGATTAGAGTCCGCACACTTAACCGCTGCACCAAACTGGCTCTCAGTTGACAAACCACTTCAGAGATGGCCCCTTACTGGAAGGGAAAGGCTGTGTGAAATGTGTCCCTGTACCGGTTTAGTCCATGATGGTACAATAATGGTTTTAAAAGGGTAATGTGAAATTCCCCTATATCTGCATATGAGTAGGAAAGGGGGAAACAGCTCTCTTGTCTCAAGTTTCAGAAGTGGGTTTAGAAATACAGAAGGAATATCTGTCAAAATGTGATTGGCCTTTGCCGTTCATTGATTGCTCTATGAAATTTCAGTTCTGGGGACCCCCATTTTTGTTATAGCTTGATCCTCTTTTTTTGTATCCATGTACACCTGACCTAGATAACCCAGGCTAGCCTGCTCTGGCCAGATCTTGGAAGCTAAGCAGGGATGGCCCTGGTAAGTATTTGGGTGGGAGACCTCCAAGGAATAGCCAGGTCATGATGCAGAAACAGGCAACAGCAAACTACCTCTCAGTGTCTCTTGCCTTGAAAACCCCATGGGGTCACCATAACTCAACTGTGACTTGATGGCACTTTCCACCACTACCACACCTGAGTGTGGACCTAGAAATGACAGAAAGAGCCTGAATTAAACTAATAGCAAGAGGGCAGTGACTCATGCCCAGGAGGAAAGGAATGCAGGGCAGGGCATTATCAATCACATGTAAATCTGTTCTAGGAGGGATTCAATTGAGGGACATTTCCCCCAAGGACCTCAGAGCCTCCTCCCTGGTAATTTAATGATAACCAGTGATCCAGATCTCCAAAACAAGATGCATTGGGCCAGTCCCAGAAATTTCCTTCCTATGCAAACAATCAGACAGGAAGATTTTAAAGGTAAAGGTTCCCTTGCTTGAAAGTCAGTCGAATACGACTCTAGGGTTGCGGTGCTCATCTCCGTTTCAAAGCCGAAGAGCCAGCGCTGTCCGAAGACATTTCCGTGGTCATGTGGCCGGCATGACTAAACACCAAGGAGCATTCCCCAAATTATATGGTGATATAATAACTATCTTCAAGTACTTGAAGGGCTGTCATATAGATGATGGTGCAGAGTTGTTTTTTGTTGTCCCAGAAGTTTGGACCAGAACCAACAGCTTGAAATTAAATCAGAAGAGTTTTTGGCTAAACATTAGGAAGAACTTCCTGACAGTTAGAGAGGTTCCTCAGTGGAATAGGCATCCTCGGGAGGTGGTGGGCTCTCCTTCTTTGGAGATTTTCAAACAGAGGCTAGATGGCCATCTGACAGCAATGCTGATTGTGTGAACTTTGGCAGATCATGAGAGGGAGGGCAGGAAGTGTTGCATCAGTGCTTAGTTCTCGTGGCCCTTTCTTACACGCCCAGGGAAATGCTGGTCACCATTTTGGGGTCAGGAAGCAATTTTTCTCCAGGCCGGTTTGGCCAGGAAACCTGGAGGGGGGAGTGGCCCTCTTCTGGGCATGGAGCAGGGGTCACTGGGGGTGTGGGAGGAAGTAGTTGCGAATTTCCTGCATTGTTCAGGGGGTTGGACTAGATGACCCTGGAGGTCCCTTCCAACTCTGTGATTCTTTGACAAGTACCTGGATACATACATATCTAACATCCAGATTTTCCCAAGGGAACATTTTTAACACTCTCCATGCAAAAGAAGAAAACTCCCATCATGCAAACAAAGAATTTCTTTTCAGGTTTGCTCAGAACCAGTGTTCCCTCTAAGCTGAGTTAGGGTGAGCTAGCTCACAGTTTCTTAGCCTCCGGCTCACACATTTTTGTCTTCGCTCAGGAAGGAGGGCTCCAGAGCAAACTCATTTAAGCAGCAGTCAAATCCCTCGCTCACAACTTTAATGCTAGTTGCTCACAAAGTAGAGTTGTTGCTTACAAGACTCCACAGCTTAGAGGGAACATTGCTCAGAACTGCATTTTTATTAGCCCTACATTCCAATGCCAACACCCTTTCCGCTCCTCATCCCAGACAACACAATATAAAAAGTTATCCCTCGGCCCCAATTTTGGTAGCTATTTTTCCGTCATCCTGTTACCCCAGCATCACAGTTGGTCCCTTATCTCTCCTTGATCCTGAATCTCTCCTCCACTACACTTCCTGCCTTCACCTAGTCAGTTTCATCTCCTGAGGCACCTTCTTCACCTCTCCTCCCCCTGCTTCTCTTCTGGACAAGCTGGTATGTTTCATTTTCTGTTATAGATTTGTTCCCCTCTAGGTATGCAGCAGATTTGGGGAAAGATTTGATGTTGTTATTTGCTGTTCCATCATACTGAGTTTCTATTCTGTGTTTTTCATAACTGTTCTACCATATTGCACAGATTATCTACATAGGCTAACAACCCACAGTATGTAGGTAATTATATAGGTGCCCAAAATACATGTGTTTGATCTGTGCAGGCAGGGGGACACTTTTACATGTTACTGCCCTGACACGAGTACCCCAGCTTGGCTATCAGTGCCATCCATCCAGTAGCTTCGCTTTCCATTGAAAGCCTTAATCTGAAGGAAAGTAAATCTGAAAAACAAATGGTTGGCGATGCTTTTTCTGAGACGGTGACAATGCCACGTCTACACTGAAAGCGTACCACTAATAAAAATAGAGGTTTGATTATTCTGTGAGGAGTTGTTATTGCCTATGCTTTAGAAAGGCATTAGATATTCAGGTCTGTGTAAAAATAAGTTTAAGATAAATGAAATTGGTGTGATTCATTTTTCTTTATTTATGAGGTTGGAAACCTATTAAGACTCCAGACAAAGTCTTTGTGTGTTCTTTCTTCAGCCTACACAAAAACTCAAACTAAACAGTTTGCCTACTGCTTCTTAATGCAATCTGCAAGACTCTTCAAGTTTTGTAAGTAATGAAAAGAACTGGAGCAAACTGAGGAAGAGTGCACTTGTATGCCTGTTTCGTATTTCACTTCCATTACTAGGCCCCTGGCAAGACAGGGAGTTCTTAGCAGGAGATGCCCATTGCTGGTGGTTTTATACAGTACATTACACTGTTTAGTGGATAACTGAGGTTGTCCACAGCCATGAGACCTACCGGCCCAAATTCTGACACCAGCTCTAAGGAGTTTAAACTAATCAAGGTCATTCTTTGTGACACTATGGCTTCTTGTTATGGATGACTTGCACTACTAACAACAATGGATAGATCTCATTAAAATATGAATTCTATTTTTGCCATATAAGTTGAACATTTCCGTATTAGCTCTTTATATCTTCTAACCCACTGCCTCGCTGACATGGGAGTTTGTGGGGTAGCCCCAGGGGTCATTTCATAGAAAAAGAGCTAGGGGAACTCATTAGCATAACTCATTAGCATATGCCACACCCCCTGACATCAGGGGCGATAACTGAGGTTGTCCACAGCCATGAGACCTACCGGCCCAAATTCTGACACCAGCTCTAAGGAGTTTAAACTAATCAAGGTCATTCTTTGTGACACTATGGCTTCTTGTTATGGATGACTTGCACTACTAACAACAATGGATAGATCTCATTAAAATATGAATTCTATATATGCCATATAAGTTGAAAATGTCCATATTAGCTCTTTATATCTTCTAACCCACTGCCTTGCTGACATGGGAGTTTGTGGGGTAGCCCTAAAATGGCTTACCTCATTTCTCTGTGGTTGGGGACAGAGGGTGGTGCTAGAGGAGAGGATGTCAGCTAGGTACCCCAGATGTGTGGGGTTCCTCAGGGGGCAATTGTCTCCCCAATGTTATTTAAATCTACGTGTGCCCCCTTACCCAGCTGGTGTGGAGTTTCAGGCTGGGTTGTCACCAGTACATTGATGATACCCAGCTATATCTGCTACTGGATGGCCACCCAAACCCCACCCCACATAATCTGGCTGAGGGTTTGGAGGCTGTGGTGGGATGCTTTAAAAATAGACTAAGACTGAATCCAATAAAGACGGAGGTTCTGTGGCTGGGGGGGGGGGGCTTCAGGGTAGGGGCATAGACTTCCCACTCTTGGTGAGGTGCCACTAGCACTGGCACAATCCATCAGGAGTTTGGGCATGATCCTGGTTGCCTCCTTAACTGTGAAGGCCCAGGTCACAAATATTGCAAGACTAGTATTTTTTTCATCTACACCAAGCTCAGCAATTACGCACTTTCCTGTGCCACCCTGGTCTAGCCATTGCAATACATGCAATGGTCATCTCCAGGCTGTATTATTGTAACTCACTGTACACTGGCCTGCCCTTGGGACTGACCCAAAAGCTGCAGCTGGTCCATAATGCAGTGGTGTGAGTCCTGACAGAAACACCATGGGTGGTACATATTCAACCAGTGTTGAGCCAGCTACACTGACTACCAGTGAAATACTGTAATGTAGTAATCTCTGACAGCGTGCGAGGCAAAGTCTCCACACGGTCATGCGAAGCTTCTGAGCTTCGGTCTCGGAGACAATGGCCCAAGTGGATCCTAGCCGGCACCAATCAGAGGGCTAGGTTCCTCGGCCACTGTAAATAGCCTATCACTAGTGTGGGGGGGTGTTTGGGGTGTGGGATTGTTGCACATATAAGCCGGCCTGTGAGCTGGGAAAAGTTGTCTTCTTTCCTGAAATAAAGTATGAGAGCTGAATTCACTAGTAAGTCTCAGTACTTTTCACTGGCGATGAAGGTAGGATTCTACCTCTCCCATGAACAATGACCACAAGCATCGCACCACTGCTGGCACCGAGGCTACTGCACCCTGCTCCACATTGTGCCCTGCTTCTCCGGTCGCTGCACACCGCACCGCTCCTCGCACCGCGCACTGTTCCGCTGCCTCCGAGCACAGCAAAGTGCCGCTCCCCAATCCATCAGTTGCTGCCACCGCTCCCGAGCCTAGCCCTCACGAGCTTCACCCTCCACGTGGAGTCGATAAGATGGCCGTTCCCCAGGAGAGCATCGCCGCTTTCGACATCAACCACCCTACACAGTGGGACACATGGCTTGAGATTCTGGAGAACCACTTCACCTGCCACGACATAGTGGACGGGGGTAAGAAGAAGGCTCTCCTTCTCTGATCCTGCAGCATGGACACCTTCCTGTTGCTAAAGGACCTCATCGTGCCCAAACAGACCAAGGATGAAACATACGAGACCTTGGTGAAGGCGCTCTCCGACCACCTTTCACTGAAGCCCACTAAGTTTGTTGCGTGCATGCGCGTGTCCAGAGCCCGGATGAGATGGCCTCCGAGTTCTTGGCCGGATCCCGATGAGCGGCCACGAGATGTTCGTTTCCCAGTCTGGCAGACACCCTGCTCAACCAATTCCTCGTGGGCCTCCAGGAGCCCAAACTTCAGAGGAAACAGGTAAACCAGGACGATCTTGACCTACAAAAAGGCGCATCAAGACCACTGCGGCAAGGCAGTCCATTGCACACAAGCTACCATCGCTTTGGATGTCTCCGACAATGAGGAGGTGCTCCAGGTCCATTGCTGCTCATCCCAGCTTCACCACTGGTCATCGGGTCCACCTGAAGTCAACCCTTCAACCTCCACCACATCTTGTGCCAGCTGCGGAGAGGCGCACAAACGCCGGTCGTGCTGGTTTTGGGACGCTGTCTGCTGGGCTTGCAACAAGCCGGGCCACCTCGTCCAAGTCTGCCGCTCCAAGAGACAGCGCCAGAAGCCATCGGCCCATCAGAACTCCACTGACTTTCCTTCTGACCTCCACACTGTCTCGACCCACCACCAGCAGCACCTGGTATGTAACTTGCTCCCTAATAGCCCCCACAAAATGCATGTGACTGTGTTGATTGAGGGGTCCCCCTGCAGCATGGAGATAGACTCGGGTTCATCCTTCTTCATTATTTCTGAGAAGATGCTGCGCTCCCTCTGCCCAAGGGAGGGACCCTTCCTGCAAAAGCCAAAGGGACTCACATTACGGGACTTTAACAAAAACCCTGTGGCGGTCCAGGGCTGGGGCAAGTTTAAGGTGCAGTATAAGGACTTCTGCGGACTCTTAGACTTGCTGGTGGTGGAAGGTAGGCTCACGAGTTTGCTGGGCCTTTCGTAGTTCGACCCACTGGGTTTCACTATCTCAGGGATCAACCAGGTCCAGCTGGAAGATTTTACGGCTGTGTGCAATGACTTTCCCAAAGTTTATGACAGCACGCTCGGCCGCTACTCCAAGCCCCCATCTCCCTTGATCTCAACCTGGCTTTCCGCCCCAGATTGCAAGTGTACACTGAATAAAGCACTCCAGGAGCATGCGTACCTGGTGCCGGTGGTCAGCCATGTGTTGGCTGCACTGGCGGGCCCCCGGATCTTTGGTAAATTAGATCTGGCCCAGGCGTATCAACAACTGCTCATTGATGCGCTCACCGCCGAGGCCCAAACCATTGCCACGCATAAGGGAGCGTTTAAGGTGCATCAGCTGCAGTTTGGGGTGTTAAGAACATAAGAACATAAGAGATGCCAATGTTGGATCAGGCCAAAGGCCCATCCAGTCCAACACTCTGTATCCCACAGTGGCCAGAAATACCAGTGCCATCAGGAGGTCCACCAGTGGGGCCAGGACATTAGAAGCCCTCCCACTGTTGACCCCCCCCAAGCACCAAGATGACAGAGCATCACTTGCCCCAGAGTCCCTATCTATACCTTGTGGCTAATAGCCACTGATGGACCTCTGCTCCATATGCTTATCTAATTCCCTTTTGAAGCCGTCCATGCTTGTAGCTGCCACCACTTCCTGTGGCAGTGAATTCCAAGTGTTAATCACTCTTTGGGTGAAGAAGTACTTCCTTTTATCCGTTCTAACCCGACCGCTCAGCAATTTCATGGAGTGCCCACGGGTTCTTGTATTGTGAGAAAGGGAGAAAAGTACCTCTTTCTCTACCTGCTCTTTCCCATGCATAATCTTATAAACCTCAATCATGTCACCCCTCAGTCGTCGTTTCTCCAAGCTAAAGAGCCCTAAGCGCCTTAACCGTTCCTCATAGGGAAAGTGTTCCAACCCTTTTATCATTCGAGTTGCTCTTTTCTGCACTTTTTCCAAAGCTATAATATCCTTTTTAAGGTGTGGTGACCAGAATTGCACACAGTATTCCAGATGAGGTCGCACCATTGATTTATATAGCGGCATTATGATATTGGCTGATCTGTTTACAATACCCTTCCTAATAATCCCCAGCATGTTGTTCTCGCCGGGGATTTTCCAGTAGTTTGTGGATTCCCTTCTTAAAGGTATCCCCGGAGTACAGCCATTTTTAGATGATGTGCTCATCACGGCTCCGGACTTGTCGTCTTTTGCCGACTGGCTTCAGCTGGTGCTCCAGCACTTCGACGCGGCCGGTCTTAAAGTAAAGAGGGGAAAATGCCTGTTGGGAATACCTCGCATTGAGTTCCTGGGTTTCGCTGTGGACGCCACTGGGCCATCACCCAAGCCCCCCCTCCCACGTCTAAGTCAGAACTGCAGGCTTTCCTCGGCCTGCTTAACTTTTATCATTCCTTCCCCCCTCTCAAGGCAGCTGTGGTAGAACCCCTTCACCGTCTTCTCGACAGACATGCCCCTTGGGCCTGGGGCCTGAGCATGCTGTGGCGTTCCAGGCCGTGAAGGACCTGCTAGTTTCAAACTCGGTCCTTTCGCATTTCGATGAGGATTTGCCAGTGGTCCTCGCCTGCGATGCATCTCCGTATGGGGTCGGGGCAGTCCTGGGCCACCAGCTACCAGCTGGCCAGGAGGTTCCAGTTGCCTACTATTTGAGGACCTTGTCATCTGCGGAATGCAACTACACGCAGATCGACAAGGTGGCGCTCACTATTGTGGCGGGGGTGAAGAAATTTCACCACTACCTGTACGGGTGGCCTTTCACAGTCCTGACCGACCACAAGCTGCTTCTCAGCCTCCTGGCCCCTGACCGCCAAACCCCACAGATGATGTCACCCCGGGTTCTCCAGTGGTCTGTTTTTTTGGCAGGGTACTCGTATTCGCTTGTCCACCGGCCTGGGAAACTGATGGGCCATGCGGACGCCCTAAGCCGTCTCCCACTGCCTGCTATGGATCCAGACCCAGCTCTGGCTCATCAAATTGCACTTTTGGAGGCCCTCCCCGACCAGCCAGTGTACGTTCATGAGGTGATGTGCCGCACGGCCAAGGACAAGGTCCTCTGCCACGTCTTGGACTGTGTGAGAAGTGGGTGGCCCACGGGCCTGGGGGGAGCGGACTTCATGGTGTTCGTCTCCCACAAAATGAGCTGTCTGCCCACAAAGGTTGCTTGATGTGGGGAGGCAGGGTGGTGATCCCGACCCCCTTGAGGGAACGAGTCCTAACAGCTCTCCACGAGATGCATCTGGGGGTGGTCTGGATGAAAGCCCTGGCCAGGAGCTATGTCTGGTGGCCGGGGTTGGATCGGGACATTGAGGACATAGTCAAGAGGTGTCAGCCCTGTCAGGAATCCTGACCCGAGCCACCACCCAAGGTGCCCAATCGAGCCTGGGAGTCATCACACAGGCCCTGGTCCAGGTTACACTTGGATTTCACGGGCCCGTTCCAGGGACAGCTGTTCTTCATCCTGGTGGACGCTTACAGCAAGTGGCTGGAAGTGGTCCCAGTGCCATCCACCTCCTCGAAGGCAGCAATAAGAGCCATGTGGAGAATCTTCAGTGCCCAATGCATTCCCAACACCCTGGTAATGGACAACGGCATGGTATTCACCTCCAGTGAGTTCCAGGACTTCACCCGGTACTATGGGACCCACCATGTCAAATCGGCCCCTTTCCACCCTGCTACCAATGGCCAAGCTGAGTGCATGGTTTGGACAACCAAGGACACGCTCCGCCGCTTGGACAGCACGGATTGGGACTACAAGCTATCTGCCTTCCTCTTTGGCCAGTGAACTACACCCCACACCTCGACTGGTCACAGCCCTGCAGAGCTCCTCCTGGGCAGATGCCTGACAATCCGGCTGGATTGCCTTCACCCCGATCGAGCCCTGGAAGAAGAGCCGGACACAGAGACACAGGAGGCTTCCAGGGGTTTCTTCAAAGAGAACCCTGTGTACACCAGGAACTATGTGCGAGGCCTGCCATGGATTCCGGCCCGGGTGGTGCGAGTCACAGGGCCCCAATTGTACGAGGTTTTCAGTGAGGATGGCCAGCTACTCCGCCACCACATTGACCAGCTGCATCAGCGGGTGTTGCCATACGACCCAGAGGACTTTGAGGAACCGGGCTCCTTCAAGGCTGCAACTTCCCCTATGCTCCCGGAGACTCCTGTTTCTCCAGGGACGGCACCCAGCCTATCACCACCCAACCAGCCAGTCAACAGGGTAGCCACACCCAGCGAAGCAATGCAGAAAAACCACCACAGCCGACGCCAGCCAGCAACCAGCCGAGTGCCACGGTGTCACCTCCCGCCATGGTTCCCGTACTTTGCTGCTCCACTAGAGTACGGAAAGCACCCACCTATCTCAAGGACTTTGTATGTGGGTGTATTTCGAACTGGTGGGGGAGGGGTGTAATGTATTCATCTCCAACCGCGTGCGAGGCTAAGTCTCCACGTGGTCATGCGAAGCTTTCGAGCTTCGCTCTCAGAGACAGTGACAGTGTGGGGTGTGTGTTTGGGGTGTGGGATTGTTGCGCATATAAGCCAGCCTGTGAGCCGGGAAAAGTTGTATTGTTCTTTCCTGAAATAAAGTATGGGAGCTGAATTCACTAGTAAGTCTCAGTACTTTTCAAATACCAAGGCCGATTCCACACTAATGCTTTGCTCTCCGTTCTCCCTGGGTCTAATTGGCCCGATTCTGTTCGGGGGGTTCTGCATTAAGGAACTCGGACCCAGGTTTGTCGCCTTGCCCTGAATCTAGCACCCCCTCCTCTCTCTTCCCCCTCCTTTTTAAAATCAGGGGCGTAGTTGCGTTGTAACACACCCACCCACTGGAAAACTGGTGTGCTTTACGCATGCATAGTTGCATTGTACCAGGTCGAAAAAGGGAGGGGAAAGGGAGAGGGGAGGCAGGAGGGAGAGAAGCAGACATGCAAGGCAACACATGTCACCACCATGAAAATTGTGTCCACACTACCATGCCACCCACAATGCATCTTTTTTACAGTTGCACTACAGCCCGTAGGTTAGCCCCACGAAAATTTTTGTCCATGCCTCCATGTCACCCTTAATGCTTTTTTTTTTAACAATGGCACTACTTTTGTACAAATAGTGAATTGCAACACAGAAATGGGGAAACAGCAGATGTACAATTAAAAGGACATTTAAATGCCAGTCAACAATGGATCACTATTGTATTGCAATGCAACACCAGGGGGGGGCAAAAAAACCCCTTCGTGCCAGGGTAGGAAAGGGAGGGGGAGGGGGAAGGAAGGGGGGAGGAGGAGAGAAGCAGACGGGCATTGAAGGGGTGGAGAGAGGCAGGAATAAGAGGGAACGGGAGGGAAAGAAGCTGAGGGGCGTTAAAGGGGTGGATTTGTGCGTTCCCCACTACAACGCCCCGACTTCAACCCCGTAGTAAAAAAAAGATCCTGAATATAGCAGAGTCAGAAAATCCGGGGAGAAACGCCATTAGATTTGGGTCAATTGCTGATCCAGACCAACATGTGGGGAACTGATCAATTTCCACGGATATTATCGGGGGGGGTGACACTGGGGCAAGTGATTGTGCGGAATCGGCCCAAGTCAAGTTCAAGGTTTTGGTATTGACCTTCAGGGCCTTGAGTGGTCTAGGACCTGTGCATCTTTGGGACTGCCTCCTCTGTTATGTCCTTGGTTGAATGTTACACTCCACTGAGAACAATCCACTGGTGATCCCTGGCCCCCAAGGTATTTGGCTATCCTCAATCAGAGCCAGGGCTTTTCCAGCCCTGGCTTTGACCTGGTGGAACTCTACCAAATATCACCTGGGCCCTTCGGGTCTTAATGCAATTCTGCAGGGCCTGTAAGGTAGAAATGGTCTGTCAGGCTTTCAGTTGAGGACAGCAATGGTTCCATCATGGCTGGCACCCTTTTCTTCTTTTCATCCATCTTTGTGCTTCGGCCCCCTCCTCGCTCTGTCCAGAAGACAGCAGCACAGTCTGGAGCGGGTATGAAGAAAGTTATTGACATCATCTGAAATTATGTAATTGACTTATAGGTTTTATTCATTTTAACACTGTTTTAACTGTTGTACATTGCCCAGAGCCTTGTGTGTGCAGGGAATGGGCGATTTATAAATCTAAAGTAGTAAATAATGAATTGTGACTAAGGAACATAGGATAGTTTCTTTTGGAATAAGTATGTCAACAAAAAACAGGTGACTTTAATTCTAATATGCCCTGTATGTGTTGTGGGTGGAAGATATACAAAATTTTTGAAATTAGAAGTCTTTCCCAATTATAGGCAGAATACACCCAGGCTTCTTGATACGATGAAATACAAGTTGAAATAGGACTCTCTAGTGATTTGTTACTGCAAATATTTTCTCTATCAGAGCCATTTTTAGCTGACCGATGTTTTGTCCTGCTATGCTATGCATGGTATAACTCTCCTTAGTTGTGGTCATTGCCTTGCCATTTCATTTATAATCTATTCAAGGTAATTTTCATTAACAGGTATTACTTCTGACGTCATCTCAGTGTATAGTTGTTCTGTCTGTAGTTGTCAAAAAGGAAACATAACAGATCTGTACACATTTTTTTTTAAGTTCTCCCCTCCCTTCTTCCATGTGTAATGTGCATCTTAGGTTTCATAGGCAGACAGAGCTAAGTTAGTCAGGTAGGATTTTTGAAAGGACTTGAGACAGACTAGATTTCAAAAACAAAAAGGCAGGCTTAGGCTTCTACAACTATGAATGTATGAGGGCAGTGTATGCTGAGAGCTATGCATCATATATAGCTAAATTTCTTATAAGGCATGATCTTTTATGACTATATATTCTACAGTTAAAAGAATGAATGTGAACGGATCTTGTCACTCTCAATTAATTTGTATAATAGAGGCAACAAATATTTTGCTGTGGTTAAATGAGTACTGAGTGTCATTAATGTGCATGAGATAGAGATGGTCCCACTTCACTTCTGTTATTGAATGTACCTGACAAAATTAGAATTAATGTTACTGAAAACAATGGTATAGCTGTACTAGATAATGAGGGTAAATGAGAGGGCTGTTTGTTTAGCTTTAGCAAAAGAGAATTAAACTATATTGTAAAACTACTATTATTCTGTGGGGTGGCATTAAAATGATAGAGCAAGACCTTTTGGCAAGCATGGCTTCATATTTCTAAGCAGTTTTCAGCCACATGCCTACATATTCATCATTTCATTTATGGACAGTGCTCTTTTTTCCTTCTTTAATTGGTGGCCATGTTTTAATAACATTTTGGTAGCCTTCCAACTTTGTACAAGCTCTACATTTGTAAAATGGACGTTTCAAGAGAGGACAAGAGAGCATAAGATTTAGCAAGATTAGCAACAATTTTAGCATTGGTGAGAAAATGATAATTGCATATTTTTGAAAAATAACTGTTTAACATGGTGTTATTCCTATGCACTTTCAATGACAGACTGCTCCCTCATTATATTTCGATTACTCTTAAAGAAGATATGATTGCCTGTGTAGATCCATAAAACACTGAAGGCTAGTCCATTTAGATGTACAAAATATAATTACAGAAACTGGAATCTTGCCACATGATGATTTATATTCTCCTTATGATAAGGCCTAATGGGTTTCTAATAACTACATATGGTCAAGGCCAAAGCCATACATCTCTTTCAAAATCAAGATTCCAATCCTAATGCTTTATATAATGTAAAGGGCCCCCCAACAATACCTAGTGGTTATTTGGATTTGTTAACTTGATTTTGTGGTTTTCATGGCTGTTTACAGCATATCAAAATCTTGATCATAAAATGATGAGCCAAAATGACTAACTGATCAAAAAGAAAACCCAAATGACTGATAGGTAAAAGTAGTAGAAAAGAGTTGTGCTTTAGAGACTAACAAAACTTGTGGCAGGTAGGGATGCCAGACCCCCCCCCCCCCGGTGAGAGTGGAAGCCACCCAGTTTCTGGTGCTTTTCTCCACACACCCCAATTACTCCCCCCCCCAAATAGGCAAAAATAGGTGACGTGCCTACATCACCTGAAAGTGATGTAGTCACATTGGTGACGTCAGGGGGTGACACTCTGGTTTTTGAGTAA